AGGTGTTGGTGCTACAGGTGTAGGTGCTACAGGTGCTGTAGGGGCCGGGAGTACAGAACGCTATACAGTCACACAGGCCTGGACTGTCTTACTGTGGAATGTCCCTGTTTGTATGACCAGAAGTCTTATTTCTGTATAATCCTGTTAGGTTAAAACAGTTTGTATCTCCTGGTCTCCTTGCTGCTGTATATCCTTGTGTGGGACAGATCCGTATTCAAGTCTTATTCTTGTATATGTTTGTGTATGTGAGACAGACTAGATTCAAAGTCTCACCCCTGTATATCCTTGAGTGTTACAGACCAGTATCAAAGTCTTATTCCTGTCTTGTATATCCCTGTGAGCAGTATCAAAGTCTTATTCCTGGCTTGTATATCCCTGTGAGCGGTATCAAAGTCTTATTCCTGTCTTGTATATCCCTGTGAGCAGTATCAAAGTCTTATTCCTGTCTTGTATATCCCTGTGAGCGGTATCAAAGTCTTATTCTGTCTTGTATATCCCTGTGAGTGATATCAAAGTCTTATTCCTGTCTTGTATATCCCTGTGAGCGGTATCAAAGTCTTATTCTGTCTTGTATATCCCTGTGAGTGATATCAAAGTCTTATTCCTGTCTTGTATATCCCTGTGAGCGGTATCAAAGTCTTATTCTGTCTTGTATATCCCTGTGAGTGATATCAAAGTCTTATTCCTGTCTTGTATATCCCTGTGAGCGGTATCAAAGTCTTATTCTGTCTTGTATATCCCTGTGAGCGGTATCAAAGTCTTATTCTGTCTTGTATATCCCTGTGAGTGATATCAAAGTCTTATTCCTGTCTTGTATATCCCTGTGAGCGGTATCAAAGTCTTATTCTGTCTTGTATATCCCTGTGAGTGATATCAAAGTCTTATTCCTGTCTTGTATATCCCTGTGAGCGGTATCAAAGTCTTATTCTGTCTTGTATATCCCTGTGAGTGATATCAAAGTCTTATTCCTGTCTTGTATATCCCTGTGAGCGGTATCAAAGTCTTATTCTGTCTTGTATATCCCTGTGAGTGATATCAAAGTCTTATTCCTGTCTTGTATATCCCTGTGAGCAGTATCAAAGACTTTTCCAGGTATATCCTTGTGAGCATGACCAGATTCCAAGTCTTAATCAGCCAGATCTCAAGAACTTAGCTCCATATATTCATGGGTTTGTGACACAAAGGGAGCTTGAAGACTTATTCCTGTTGCTCAAGCATCCAAACTGTACTCTTGTAAACACCTTGGTTGTTGACTGACAAGTTCCTTGTGTTCGTCACAGATACAGCAGATGTTCCATACACAGACACATCCTTTAACACTTGAGAGGGTCCTACTTCCTTCCCACCACAATCTGGCGCTTCCAGCTAGAAAATGCGTAGTAATTCTCTATGCACCACAACCATATTCATGTCAAGTAATAGTTATTTTGTGGTATACATATTCATGTGACAGGTGGTAGATGAATATAGACTCCAGTGTTTACTGAGACCAAGTCTGACCTATGCTATATTATCTGTATCACACACTAAACATCTGATTGGGTTCTCATAGCATATAGGGCCCTTTTTTATTATGGTTTACGGACCAGCCGACCCGAAATGTGAGGAAAATGGAAAAAAATGAATAATTGTTTGACACACTTTTTTGCCATTATATGCCGCCGACCTGATAAAAAAACAAAGAAAGTGAAAAAATAATATGAAAAATAAAAAAAGCCTCATACCTTTCAAATATTCCCTGAAACAGACTGGAACAGAGAGAAGTGATGCCACAGGTTGCTCAGCTGGCATGCTACACCTGGCATATAGGATATACTTAAGTGTGCACACAACATCTCCATGCTCAATCTTTTTCTTTTCTTTTTTTATCCCTCCCTACCGACCTAATATTTTTTTTATATTAGCTGTATGGCGGCGGTCTGTAAATAATCGAGTCTGGACCAGACAATCCAGTGATGAACATCATGAGCATCGATCTACACAATTGGGAACCGATGACATGTGTCAACCAAGTCAGTGAACCTGACCACTCGATCCCGTTAGTCGCCTCTTACGACAAGCATAGTCGCCTTTTGTGGCAAGCATGGGTTGCTGAAGACCTATTCTACCCCAGATATTTTAAGATATTAGTGCGTGAGTGAGTATGGTTTTACGTCACTTTTAGCAGTATTCCAGCAACATCACGGCAGGGGACACCTGAAATGGGCTTTACACATTGTAGCCATGTGGGAATCAAACCCGGGTCTTCCGGCATGATGAGCCAATGCTTTAACCACTAGGCTACCCCACCGCCCTTTAAATATTAGATTATTACAAAGACATGTGACATGAAACTAGTTCCTTTGTACAGCTTTAGATTATGTTTTTTGTTTGTTGTTTAGCGCTGCTCTCGTCAATATTCCAGCTATATGGCTTGTACATTATCGGATGCCGTTCCTATGTGTAGATATCAACTGACATATTCCTCAAACAAGGTAACTGTCTGATGTCATACTTAGAGCTTTTAGGGTTGTAATTAAGATATTTGCCTTTTGTTTTCATTCATTTGCTGTAGGAAGGAATATGTGATGCCTCAAAGGCTACTGATCAAATTGTTCCATCTGTAATTCTTTTCTGACAATATCAATCAATTATTCCAAAGTGCTTTTATTATTAAATATATATCTGTATATAAAACTATGCTTACCAGAACTGAATCTTTTTTATTTATCTCAGATTCACATCTTTTTGACTAAGTTTGTTATCACCTACATGCTTAGTTTTTTAACGTTTTTTACATATTTGTGAACAGCATGTTATTTGACAATGAGATCAAAGAAACACTGTACTTGCATACTAAGAAGCTGCCTGTACTGTACTACTGAGGTAAAGTCTGTAAACATAATTCTGGGAATAAAAACATGAAAAAAAAGAAAAGAAAAAAAGTTTGTTGTCACCTGTTTGTTAGCCTGAAGTTTCCAAGGGATTAAACTGTGCATAATATTGATGTTCACATTTGAGGTCTCATATGTATTAATCAACGACAAAAACTTATTTTTCAGAAACCATAACTTTCAGATCCATATCTTTAGGCTCTCAAAGTTGGAGTTTGTTTAGTTTTACAGTCATGCTGTGAGAGCAACAGTTCTTAATGTATAACTCTCTCATCCTTGAAGGCAGACTACGAGTTGACTTATTTCAAGCCTTTTCTCAGGATGTATTGGAGTTAGCTCCCATTGTGGTGAATAAAATCAACTTGAATAAATATGTCCCACATATTCAGGAGTTATCTCCCTTCAATGTGGATTACAGAAAGAGATAGACTGATGCTTTGTCTCTGAACCACAGAATTTTGATGGTGTGATGGGAGCTTAACTGAGGAAATCTAGACTTGCTTCAATTAGACTTTGCATTACACAAATGGCTGGGAGGAAAGGACAACATATGGTTCAACAACAATGTTAATGCACATTTGCTTGTTGTTTTAGCAATATTGAGAATATATGATGGCGGTCTGTAAATAATCAAGTCTGGACCAGACAATCCAGTGATCAACAGCATGAGCATTGATCTATGCAGCTGAGATATGATTACATGTACCTGATCCTGACTGTCGCCTCTTGTGACAAGCATTGGTTGCTGAAGACCAATACTAACCGAAATCTTCACGGGTATTCAGTGACTGTGAGACAGAGAGAGCAAAATTGCCTTTTATAGTCGTACTGTCAGTACAATCACATGATGCAAATGAGATTCTCCTGGAGACCACAACAGGTTAAAAATACATTAAGTGATGTTTAACCCTTGGGTCAAAAATTGAAAAGTTACCATAGCAACCCCAACATCTCCTGTCAATACAATCACCACTGAAAACAACTCCTTTGTTAAACAAAGTGCAACATACCATATATATACTGTCCACTGCATCCCCAACAGCACCACCTACAACATCAGCCACCGTACCAGTAACATTGCCCACGACATCAGACACACTCAGCGTAGATGAGGACAACTTATGGGTTAGTTTTCTGTGACTGTTGTCCATGTCTGTAGTCCCTTCGGAATTGGAGTGTCGATGAATCTGACATGAGTCTTCCTGACTGGTGAAATGTACATCCATATCTCCCAGCTGGCTGATAACAATGGACCACTGACCACTCCCTAGTTCACTGTAGAAATTATTGTATATCACATGTCCAAGGTGTTATCCCACCTTAGTTGACCTGCCACAAACATGATCCTGAAAGTCAGGCAACAGGCAACACTGTTTTATGTAGTTGTTAAACACACCTCTATGATATAACAACTGATATCACAGAGACCTGTTGACAGTGTGGAAATGGAAACAAATGGATGTTTCCTAGAGGTAATGGTATCCTTTGGACAAAAGACAGTGATTCTATGACAAAACCCCAGACACTGACAGGCTGGTTGACACTGACTTCACCAGTTGATAAAAGTCAACGAATCAAACAGTTATTGTAGAAGGTGTTCCTCTGGCTTTTGGAGTTCTTGTCGAAAACACTTCCCAGGAAAACCTGTATGGTTGTAGCAACACAGTCAACACATTGTTGGGCAGGAGTGAACTACCAGCACTCTCAGTGTGCTGGATAATGACAGCTACCTTTGAGGCAGTGGGACTCCTGTTGTTCTGCATGCACCACCCAGGCAGTCTTACAGCTAAACCTGTCCTTGTTGAGTGAGTGCTCCAGTTATACAAAAGGCCTACCTTGAACATTTCAACTCTATTCAAGCCTTCAAAAATAGATCCACATAACAATTGTCTGCAACAGTCATTTCCAATTAACACAACAGATATCACATAAACATTTATCACACGTCAATTCACAACTGTTTAATATATTTCAATTTGAAGCAAGTAAGTAATAGGTCCAATTGAGCAAGTTAATATTGACCATATCAATAACATATCCTAGCGGTCCGACATGACCGTATCCACCAGACTGTCATATAGACTGTACTGCTGGTATGCACAGTCAGGTAGGAAGGGTCAGCTAGAGTCAAGTACCTATGGCGATATTGGGGAAAGACAGTCTGTTTCCTGGTGCTGCCACCAGGGGTCACTACGCTCACAACAGGACATGAGTGGCACATCAGGTAAGTATATTTAAAACCTGTAAGGTGGGACATGGTCATATTATGCAGTGTAGGACTACTGTTAATTTAAAGACAGAGAGACACATGAAACTTTTTGTGGTATGAGTTCAGAATAACATGATAAATGAGTGAAGAAAATGGGGCTTCATAATCTCTCATTCATGCATGAGTGAGTGAGTGATTTACATTTCTTTTAACAGTATCTTATTGATAGTGTACCCCTGTGACAGTTTACTGTGACTAAATAACTCGGTCTGTGAGTTGACACCCCTACTGCTCTCTGTTCTAGATGTAATAATATAGAAGTTAGCACTGATAAGGACAGTGAAATCACTTGACACATTTCTTTTAACAGTATCTTATTGATAGTGTACCCCTGTGACAGTTTACTGTGACTAACTAACTCAGTCTATGAGTTGACACCCCTACTGCTCTCTGTTCTAGATGTAATAATATAGAAGTTAGCACTGATAAGGACAGTGAAATCACTTGACACTGCTTGTGAAATGTTAAAGTTGTAAAGGCAGACAATTAAAACACAGTGAGGGAGTGAGTTTAGTTTTACGCCACATTCAGCAATATTCCAACTATAGTGGCGGTGAAAGAGCATGAAGGAGCTGCCAGGAATTGCTGAAATGCATGTGTAAAAATTGTTCATACTGGTCCATGTGCGTAAGAGCATTTCTCAAGTGTACTGCACATTTCTGATTCAGTCAAACTAGATACAATAACGGGGCTGTGGGGTAGCCTAGTGGTTAAAGCATTGGCTCGTCACGCCGAAGACCCGGGTTCGATTCCCCACATGGGCACAATGTGTTAAGCCCATTTCTGGTGTTCCCCGCCGTGATATTGCTGGAATATTGCTAAAAGCGGCGTAAAAACTAAACTCAGTCAGATACAATAACACTCAAGACATGATTGTGTAACCTTCCAAAGATTGATGAGATAGCTACTCTGACATTGATGTTGAAATGAAACATGTTTGCATTGATTTTGATATGATTTTTATAAGTGATCTATAGCTAACCAAGCTCATACATTATACATGTAAGTAAATATAATGATATATTCCATCAAATAAACTTCCATCTGTTCTCACAATATTCTAGATACATAATTTATGAGGATTTAAAATTGAGTTAAAATGACATTTTTTTGAAAATCAATTCCCCAAGGAAAAATGGCCCAAATCTCGTATTGAATTTGCAAAGAAATGATAAAATATGTTAAATCATGGGGTGATCTCATACTTATTTTACTGATGTAGTCTATATGGCTGCCATTTTTAAAAATGGCCACCAATTTTCCAATTTTCGGGTAGTCATGATATATATTGACATCCGTAGACCTAACCGTTAAAGAATAAAAAAAACATATATGGATGGAAAATGATCAACTATGAGTTTCCTACAATTTGAAATATGACTTATGAGAATTGGAGAATTTTAAAAGAAGTTATGATGAAAATAGTAGAAAATATGATCATTTTTTTTCACTTCTCCCCCCAAAATTATGAAAAATATAAAAATTCTGCGAGGCCTCTCGATCTATATTTAATAAGAAGGGCATAAGCTACAATCATGCCAAATTTCATGCTTGTAACACAAAGTGCACAATTTGATCACTTATCCGCTGGGCTAACTGGGATACGATGGCGTGGCAAACCAGTCAGCAAGCCTGACCACCCGATCCTGTTAGTCGCCTCTTACGACAAGCAGGGTTTACTGAAGATCAATTCTAACCCAGATCTTCACGAGTACTAAAACTCACAAAATCGGAACATGTTAGAATTTCATGCTTGTCAACAGGGCCAAATACGTCTAAGTTTCTCCAAGGCTATACTGAATGCTGAGGCAAAGGATTTATAGTAATTCTATCCTTCAAACAGGCGAGTCTTGAAGGACCCCAGTCTGTGATTTATTCCTTTTTAGAAATTATCATTTAAACTATTATTTCTTTCCTTAGAGACTTGTGTAAGTCTACTATATAGAGTACAAGGGTAGATACCAGATCTAGGAACTGAGTTTCCCAAACAGCTGGATTATCTCACACTCTTATTCCATAGATTAACCCAAGGAAGATAATCTGCAGTTACTTATAGCTTGCTGGACATTCCGTGAATACAGTATGTGTTGGTTTTTTTTGTTTAATGCCACCCTCTGCAAAATTCAATGTATATGTAAACAATCAAGTCTTGACCAGACAATCAAGTGATTGATGTATGCCCAGTGTTCACGAATAGCATCTGACCCTCTGACAAATCTGGCAGATTTGCCAATGGTCCGACAGAAGTCTTCAACCCGCCAGCCCAAGTGTCTGACTGTAAATTTCACAATGACTTTGACTGAAGTTGTTATATGTGACATGTGACACTTGTTTGCTGTTTATAAATCTTATGTTTGTTAATAATTTCAATGCCAATTATAAGAAATGTTAAATCTGAAATGTGTGTCTAATTATATTCTATGGGTCCTGTAAATTTTCAATGGGTCAGACAGACATCTGAAACTTACAGGACCCAGTGTCCTGATACTCTAAAACACCATTCGTGAACACTGTGTATGCCAATCAATCCACTGAATTGAAATCAACCAGGTGATCAAGCCTGACCAACAAATCCATTTGGTTGCCACTTTGACAAGCATAGGTTGCCAGTGACCACATTTAACCCAGGATTTGTTTCCACAGGTCTGCATACTGTTACTGTGTATCAAGCCTGGCACCGGTACAGCCCACATGACCCGAGGTAACAGTTCTGATAAGACCAATGTGGGGTTGAAGCGGTTGCTAGCCACGCCAACGACCGGGTTCAATTCCCCACATGGGTACAATGTGTGAAGCAGATTTCTGGTGTCGCCTGCCGTGATATTGCTGGAATATTGCTAAAAGCGGCGTAAAACTCACACACTCACACTTTGCCACATGACTTTGTTTACTACATTGGTGAAAGCAAGAACCCAAGTATTCTGCTGAAAGAGCTTGGAACATAATCACAACAGCCAAATCGCCTGCTTCAGCATGCCCAAGGGATGCAACTCTGTCCCCAACAGTATTCTCGCCACAAATGAAAAACATCATCACTTACCAAACATTTGCCGCGATTCTTGCCCACGAAAGAAAGATTGACCCTTAACCTTATCATCACCAACCTGCTAATCACATATGTCCCAGCTTGTATCAACACACATCACAAGACGAGACATCAATGTCAGGCTCTGTCTCATCACAAGAGACAACATCAATGGCTGGATGTTATTTCTGTGCCTGGTCCAGGAAGTGGACACCTGAGTACATGACAATGTTGACAACAGCCCGTCTCCTATGTTCAACTTTACTTTGATGTCACATACACATCTCACAGTACTCAACGCAACTCAACACAGGTTGGTGGGAGAGGTGGCTTTAATACAGGGTAGTGAGGAAGAAAGCCACAATTGGTTCATGACTTAGACATTTACAACCATGGAGAAATCCAAAAGCACAGGTTTGGTGCTCTGTATGTGAATCTGGTGATTTTCATCTGCAATAATATGATCCTTGAATGCATAAGGGAGGCAACTCTGCACAGTGAATGGCTGTGAGTGAGTGAGTGAGTGAGAAAGGATTAAAACCATCATTTGCAACCAAAGCACTGTGCATTTAATACACAGGGTAAACATATCCAACAGTCTCAAGACTTGTAAATAGTATAACACAAGAGGACATGTTTTCGCTGGACTTGACTTTGACCAAACAGCAAGATTGATTTAAGTTTTTGCTCCACAAATCGACACACCACAGGTTTATTGACAATCTAACATAAACCAAAACATAACTCCACCTGTCTGACTGCAAATATTTAAATGTGTTGAACAAAAAGAATCAGCTTTTATATCACCTGAGTGCACAGACTGCAGGAGCAACATGTGTCAGAGCCCAGGATGTACTAGACTAAGGCTTAGTCTCTGAATATATATAATTTTGATAGTAACAAGCAAGTCCATTTATATTGAAAAGGAGCCCTAGGGAGACCAGAGATTCCTGAACCTGAGGAAATCTAGACTTGCTTTATTTAGGGCTTTAGCACTGCAGATAGGGCTTGGCAGTAGGGAAATTAATGTGGTTCAGGGACTGTGAGACAGACTAAGGACGTACCTGCCGGCAGCCAGCTCAACTATGGCAAGCTGTTAGGGACAGAAATTGTGAAATATGCCAGAGGTGCTGTGCTATACATTGTATGAACAATTGAACCTATGACACATTAATAAACTCTCAGTAAGTTATAATTTTACTGCCAAACGAAACTGTACTGATAACAAGTTGGAGATAAATGGTGCTGTTGGCAAGCCAGACAAAATTTAACAGTACAATATTTTACGAGTGCTTCTATCATTTCCCATGGTTGTTAGTTTCACATCTCCATCGAGGATCATATTATACAGGATATTTCTGATTCCGTCAATCATATTCACACAATGCAATCCATCTCAATTATAACATACAATGTTTCACTGACTACCATCTAGTCTTAAACTTGAAATAAGGAATAGTTAGCAGAAAACAAAGTTGTTGAAATAAATTAACTAAAACAAAAAGGAGCCTGGGGAATATCTTCATTTTCATAAACTGCGGTAATCCAGACTTGCCCACAATTCTAGACCTGCACGGGCTGTCATGGATCATCAGTCTCTGGGTCTGTAGAACAGACTCAATGTTTCACTGGCACTGAACTCAAAATATGTCTTCTGTGTAAAGAAGCAGACAAGAGTTACATCCCTTACACTGCCAAAGATGATTGCAACACTCAAACTGATATATAGACTAACGCTTAGTCTCTGAATATATATAATGTTGATAGTAACAAACAAACCCATATAAATTGAAAAGGAGCCCCAGGGAGATCAGAGATTCAGAACCTGAGGAAATTTATACTTGCCTTACCTAGGGCTTTAGCATTGCAGTGAGGGATTGACAGTAGGGAAAATAATGTGGTTCGGGGACTGTGCGACAGACTAACTGATAGTGTGAGGGACAAGTTAGGTCTTACATCACTCCAGGCAGTATTCTACTGATGCCATAGAAACGGACCAAGACATATAATCAGATGGAACATGTTTAAAACCATAACTAAAAGTGTTTAAAAGACGACACCCCAGTACCTTATGTATGTCGATAGTTCTGTTTGTTTGTTGTTTAAAGCCATGATCTGCTATATTCTGGCTGAATACTGTCAGTCTGAAAATACTCAAACCAGGATCATGCAATCCAGTGACATCATGAGCATCTACACTATCTGGCTAACATGGACAACCATCCACCAAGTCAGTGAGCCGGACCAAACTGTTAGTCCCCTCACACACGGACATCTTTGCTGAAGACCAATTCTAACCCATGATCTCAGATAACAGGAGCCTGTTCAGCACAAGAGATTCAATGCATCAGACAGACAACCTATTCCATCCTGGGTATATATTCTACATCAAAATCCCCATAAGAAGTTCACTGCTTACTAGTGTTGGGAATTGGTTAAAATCTCATAATTGATGATTGCTTCATTACAACAGATCAATCATCGAAAATAATTGGTTAGTAATGCACACAAAAAATAAGGAACAAACATGTAGTTCTTTGGGGTTTTTTAGGCAAAATTTCACATATTTAAAGGATGACAAGTATGTTACGAACATAATTTTTTTGGAGTCTTTAAGATAAATTCAATCATGATTTGGAACGAGTTTGTAGTGCTTAATAAATGTAACAGACAAAACCAGCCTTGTGAAATATTTTGTTCCAGAATTGTTTGTGTTCGATTATGAGAAAACATGATCAATTGCTTGGTGGTTTAGTCACTGCGACCAATCTTCGATTATTTCAATTAATCGGACCACCACTACTGCTTACTGAAGACTACTACTTCTCCCAGAATCTACAGGGACACAAGCAATGGCACTAGGGACCTAGTCTCTCCCAGGATCTACAGGGACACAACAATGGTACTAGGGACCTAGTCTCTCCCAGGATCTACAGGGACACAAGCAATGGTACTAGGGACCTAGTCTCTCCCAGGATCTACAGGGACACAAGCAATGGTACTAGGGACCTCGTCTCTCCCAGGATCTACAGGGACACAAGCAATGGTACTAGGGACCTAGTCTCTCCAAGCATCTACAGGGACACAAGCAATGGTACTAGGGACCTAGTCTCTCCCAGAATCTACAGGGACACAAGCAATGGTACTAGGGACCTCGTCTCTCCCAGGATCTACAGGGACACAAGCAATGGTACTAGGGACCTAGTCTCTCCCAGAATCTACAGGGACACAAGCAATGGTACTAGGGACCTAGTCTCTCCCAGGATCTACAGGGACACAAGCAATGTTACTAGGGACCTAGTCTCTCCAAGCATCTACAGGGACACAAGCAATGTTACTAGGGACCTAGTCTCTCCAAGCATCTACAGGGACACAAGCAATGGTACTAGGGACCTAGTCTCTCCCAGCATCTACAGGGACACAAGCAATGGTACTAGGGACCTAGTCTCTCCCAGCATCTACAGGGACACAAGCAATGGTACTAGGGACCTAGTCTCTCCCAGCATCTACAGGGACACAAGCAATGGTACTAGGGACCTAGTCTCTCCCAGCATCTCTAGGGACCTAGTCTCTCCCAGCATCTCTAGGGACCTAGTCTCTCCCAGGATCTACAGGGACACAAGCAATGGTACTAGGGACCTTGTCTCTCCCAGGATCTACTGGGTGAAATCCTCAAAGTATACAAGCTCTATTCACTACATACCCACATCTTCCAACAGTGTAGATCTATAATCTATCACCACCCTGCAATAGATCAACCTTGGCAATCCAATCATAATCTGTCAAAGAACAAACTTGTTGAAGGCAATCACCACCGTGTGAGACTGGGCCTACAGTAAATCTATAGTGTGTACCGTGTGGCTGGGCCGCCATGTGTTACCTGACGGTATGGATATGTCCTTGACAAAGTGCTGCTTCTGTGTTAAGACAAGCATATTGATCCTGCATATTCTTTATTTCACATGTGTTGATATATTATACAAATTGCTCTATCTCATATTCTTTGTTTCACATGTGTTGATATATTATACAAATTGCTCTATCTCATATTCTTTGTTTCACATATGCCGACATATTAAACAAACTGCTCTATCCAATATTCTTTCTTTCCTTGCAAAAAAATACACACAGACATTGAGAATATAGGTTCCAAAATCTGACTTTGGTTGTGAATATCACTGAATATTGATTTATACAATTGTTCAATTCAAACATAAACCCAAGACAAGACAAATAAACCTCAGAGGAGAAGTGTAAACCCTAAATCAGTGTTCATCCAAGACGACTAAAGTGCTATGTGTTTATTTCCCCATGACTGAATTCAATTTTTCATAAACTAAACACAACCCTTTTTGTCAGACTGAGTGAGTGAGTGAGTGAGTGAGTTTGGTTTTACGCTGCTTTTAGCAATATTCCAGCAATATCACAGCGGGGAACACCAGAAATGGGCTTAACACATTGTACCCATGTGGGGAATCGAACCCAGGTCTTCGGCGTGACGAGCGAACGCCTTAACCACTAGACTACCCACCGCCCCTTTTTTTTGTCAGAAAGCAACCAATGAAGTAACACCTATCATTGCTCCTGGAAAAGTAGGTCCGGCCCAGGAAGCCATTTAGACTCATTTCTTCACATGAAACCTGGCTTGTTGATCTCCAAACTCATGAAGGGTCGAGTCATCAGCCTTCAACTTCCCTTTTACCATACAGAGAATTGGTACTATAAACATTATTTTAGGGTCAATGGGTACCAGGTAGCCAAGTAACAATAATAAATTTTGCCCATTTCTTCGGCAATTGGTGGGTACCAGGCAGGCAAATGACTTACTGACTGACTGACTGAGTTTTGGTTTTACACCACTTTTAGCAATATTCCAGCAACATCACAGTGGGGGACACCAGAAATGGGCTTCACATATTTTACCCATGTGGGGATTCGAACCCGGGTCTTCGGCCTGACGAGCCAACGCATTAACCACTAGGCTACCCCACCGCCCCCCAAATGACTTAAAACATGGCCTTATTTCCTCAGCAATTGGTGGGTACCAGGCAGGCAAATGACCTCCACATGGCCCTATTTCCTCAGTAATTGGTGGGTAACAGGCAGGCAAATGACCTCCACATGGCCCTATTTCTTCAGTAATTGGTGGGTACCAGGCAGGCAAATGACTATTAACAAGGCCCTATTTGCTGCTCATCAATTGATTGGTTTTCCCAAGCAATCACAGACAGAATTCTGATGGCATGTACAAGGGAAGCAACTCTGTACATGAAACGGCTGTACAATAGATGATATTGACCCTACCACTTTCACCTTGGCTTGTGTATCATGGTCTGAGGCTTCATCACATACCCAGGGTATCACGCCAGTTTTCCAATCATATATCAATAAACAATCACAACAAAATCACAATCTTAACAATAGATTCAAACTTTACTTCACCTTTTTCAAGGCTTTAATTGCATCTCACATCTACATATTATCAGAAACTAGGGCTGGATCAATAATCTGAAATATTGTCACTAGGAAGAATTATTTATGATTACTGAGAGGAAAACACACACAATACATAAAAACATGTCTGTTAATTCTAAATACAAGTTAAGTTATATTTAGTAATGTTCAGCATTGTTAAACCAGGCATGTATGAGTGTCTTGTACGGTGGCCTAGTGGTTAACACACTAGACTTGGAATCCAAAGTGCTTGGGTTCAAATCCAGCTTAATGATAAAAACTTTTGCAAATTTAATCAGTAAATATATGGCCTCACTTTCCTTATTGATGATCACATGACCTAACCCTTGCACAAAATCTTCATGCAAAGTCTGATGCACTGTGATATCCACATGGTCACTTGGCTGTCTACAAACCTTTCTGTATAGCAACACGAATGTGAGTACTTTTAATCATATCTTGTGCGCATTACGTGATATTTGAATAGTATATGTTGTAGGATTTATCATTTGGAATATTTTGACTAGTATTAATGTGTATTTTGATAGAAAGCTGCGATTGAAGCACGTTATTGAAATGCATTGTCTGACAATCTTCAAACGGTTTACCTAACAATTTTGAAATGCTTTATTTGATAATCTTGAAATCCTATATTTGAAAATTCAGAAAAGTTATATTTAAATGCTGTAATTAATGTATTATCTGAAAGAATCATTTTGTTTCTTTTAGTTTCTTAAACCTCATCGATGGACCGAGTCATGTCAATGATAATTAGCCAATGACTTGTCAACGACTACCGAAATTCGTAACTTTAATAAATCCCTGTCGATGCGAGTTTTGGAGTTGTGTTCTTGCATCTACAATGTCATTATTCATGGGCTGCTTCTAACTGATGTTCAGAAGCCGTCAGCCATCCCAACCTAAAGTAGTCACAACTCCCCTGTGATATGATATAGGTTGATATCTTTATTACTTATACCTGGCCAAGGAAACTCAAACTAAAATTCTATGACTTTCCCAGGATTCCATGACCCATGACCCCATTAACCCTGCCTTATGAATGATTCATATCATGCCAAATTACCGGAAAAAAGCAGAAATGGACTGCCCCTATGTGTTGATCACTTACACCTGGAGCGAAGGAAAGAAAGAGAACACAACACTTACCGTATACCATGCTGATTTCTTCTTCTTCTCATTCTTCGAATATTTTATTGAGTTGGAGCCTGTTGCAAGACTGTTGTCTGGAGACCGACAACTGGCGTCACTCATAGACCCATTCCACGACTCCACGCTTAAGTTGAGGTCCAGCGACTTCTCCGAACATTTGTCCATGATGTTGTCGAGGGACCTCTCGAATGATTTCTCCCGCGCATGTCGGTTCGGCAGCTTCTCCTTCTCCAACTGCGATTCTCCGTCTATGGTATACATGCGTCTCTCCGACGTTCTGTCATCCATCGGGGAGCCATTGTCGAAGGACACTTGTGGTGAGGGCTCCCTGTTGTCACCTCCACTCTCTTCACTGGCATTTTCCACATTGCCGTTCACCTTGTCACTGTTGGATGGGCTCTCAGGATCATCCAGAGTTGTCTCCCTTGGGTCCTCTTCAATGGTTGTGTTTTGGGGTCGAGATGAGATGTCTGCTGAGGATTTTCTGCGTCTGAAATATATTGGGTCAGGGACTGTTCTATTCGTACCAATACTGAACACATTTTAGAGAGTCCAACACTCCTTTGTTACACATGATAAGAAAGTCTTAGATAAACATAATAAAACAACTCATCAATTATGAAATCAAAATCTCCAGTCAAGTGAGCAAAGTGAGTGAGTGAGTTTAGTTTTACGCCACACTCAGCAATATTCCAACTATATGGCAGCAGTCTGGACCAGACAATCCAGTGATCAACAGCATGAGCATCAATCATTGCAATTGGGACCCGATGACATGTGTCAACCAAGCCAGCGAGGCTGACCACCCGATCCCGTTAGTCGCCTCTTTCAAGTGAGCTAAGAATGGCATTTAGTTATTTCTAAAAGCTATTTGGAATTTCTTACTGTTAATAGCTACACTACACCAAGCAAAGAATCACCTGGTACTGTTGCTCATTAACCATGGTAAGAACTACAGGTGGTAATGCTCATCACAACTGTTGCCATGGTAACAACTAAAGGAGGTAACTCACTCGTCATCGCGGATCTCTGAGGTGCTGATAATGAGGCTGTCACGTGCTGAAGGTGAGGGGGTGCCACCAGCCATGTGGAGAGACTCCTGACTCGAGGCAGGGGTCAAATCACGTGAACGCCGGCTGAAACCAAAATGACCTGTTATGAATGCTTGTCTAACTAGCTGTATCTGAACTTGTCAAAACAAGCAACCTATATGTGATAATGGATAATGGTTCATGATCTGTTTGGCATTTTAGAAATTGACGAGTACTAAGAATGGAAGGATACTGCGTGGATGACAACTTCTTTTTTGTATTAGGATGCGCTGGCTTGTATGCAATTGTTCTCTAGTGTAAAATATGATCAAAAAGTTTTTGTTGTTTTTTTCCACATCTTTTATTCACATCAGTAGGTACAGTCATTTTATACAAAAATCGTACACATTGACAGGTGACATTTCTAGTTACAATCATTTTATACAAAAATCATACAATCAAGGTTGTATAATTGCGTATCGTCTAAGCTTGAGCAAGTCGGTGCTATGGGTATTAGTAATATTACTTGTTTGCTCATGGGTTCATCTGGTTTGTTTTCATAATAGCACCATATCATTCTGGGTAACCAAGAGGTACAAAACATTCATACATTATTATACAGATGTCATGCCTAATACAAGCTTGTACATGTCGACAGTTCACAACACATCAGTCTTCAAACATGAGTAGGTACATTCAAGTATTACTGCACAAAGATCATAACTAGTATACATTGAAGAGTCATAACACATCAGATCATATTGTGTAATGGGTGCCCGTTTACTCCACATTCGTCCGGCTGGTTTTTCATTCTGCCAACATATTCTTAAAAGAAGCGATGGAGGATTTTAAGGACAATATTAAATTTCTAATACAGCTTATGGATATAAATATGTCTATCTTTTCCCGTGATAGAGAGAAAGATAGAGATTCATTTCTAATACAACTTATATATATATATATCTTTTTCCGGCCAAAAGAATGTGGTTCACCAGTTTGAAGTTTGCGGTCCCCCTGGATACCAAAGAGGATTGATTTAAGATAAAGCTGAATCTCATAACACAGATGTTGTCTCAAAAATTGTTCCAGATTGTACCAAAAGTGACTAACCTGTAGACATTCAAAATATACATGCACAATCGATTCGTTTTCATTGTTACATCTTTGACAAACACTATTGTCAATCAACTTCATTTTAAGTAATTCCTTTTTGGTGTATATAATGCGATGCAAAAATCTATATTGGAAATCTTGTAGCTTGATATCTCTACAGCATTGTTTAGGAAGACTAAATATTTCCTTCCAGTTTAAGTCAGTTAAGAACATTTGTTGCCATTTACTACAGATAATAGGGAGATAATTATTTTGCACAAGTATATCATATATCTTCTGAGATCCCTTTGCTGGTTTAGTCCACTCCATTAGAAAGTTATTAATCCTAAGATCGTAGACACATATAGGTTTAGACTTGTCTATCACCTTTGTCCATTCTTTAGGGAGGTTACTAACAACTCGATGATGGTCCAAATAAGTACCCTTGAGGTTGAATTTTTTTTTCAAGCCTACAAAGGATAAGAGCCCGTTCTCGTCACATAGGTCTCTTATATAATGCACTCCTATACAGAACCAGTTTTCTATAATAACATTTGAGTCTGTACACTGGTGGTTAAACCATATCGGTTCAGCTAGAATAGCCTGAATATCTCTTGCATCTGTCAAATGAGACCTATAGTATTTACTCCAAATATATATCAAATCCTGCCAGTAGGGGTGATCAATTTTACAAAGTCTGTAAGACGGTACATGGGCACCCAGTTGAAAAAGGAGTTTTATAGGAAAGTAGCTATTATATAGGCTCTTAAACATGGTTTTTTTTGGATACTGAGCTTAAGCGATGATATAAACACATTTATATCTACCACTCTCAGTCCACCATTCTCATAGCTTCTTGTCAAATTCGCCCGTTTAATTTTATCACGTTTGGAGTTCCAAATAAACTTTTAAAAAATTGAACTTAGTTCATCAACAAATTCTTTGGGTGGTTGAGGCAAAGCAGAGAATATGTGAACAAGAGTAGATAATGCTAATGTTTTATCACAGTTATTTTTCCAATTAATGTCAATTTACGTTTACGCCAATTTGCTAATAATCTCTTAATGTTTTCTAGTCATTTTCTGGTGTTGATAACCCATAGTTTTTCTAAATTTGCGTTTAGTTGAATACCAAGAACTTCAAAGTCACCATGAGGTGAGGTGAAATTGGGTATAACGTCGCGCTGGAGAATATTTCGCTCATATGACGACGTGAATGCGTGTGTGTTTGTAGGTGCGGCTGCTTGAACTAGCCCAGACTGAAGCTCGTTTATAGTGCTAGCTCACTGAGATACAGGCATCCCTCGCCATAACGCGGGTCTTGGGGTCCATGGATGACCCCCCGCGTTATAAGTAACGATTACATAACGCGGAACAAAGGCCAAGTAAAATCGTATTTTCCATGGACATAACAAAACTGCTATTTCGTGTATTGTGCCCAGTCAAAACTATATCGTATTGTTGGAGGTGAAAAAAAACAAAACTTTGTAAATAAAAAATAGATGTATGTACATGAAACTTGCAATCAAACATCACAAGACATGATAATTCAATTGTTGTTCCTGTCACGCTACTTGTTATTCAACTAAGCCGGAAATAGCAATCAGCTGGGCACACATCGATGTTTTGGTCCAATGTACCGGTGATTCATTTAAAAAACAATCCGAAAATATAACATCCAAGAATTTCTATTCCATTATCAGAATAATTGATATGTCAAGCAGTTATTCTAACAGAGATCTTATATATTGCTATCGTATAAGTATAATGCATGTTTTCTACGAACATATTTAACATAATAATAAGCATTGCTAAGCACTTTGGGTTACCTGGCTGGATACATTTTACGTAGGAGACAGTTTGACAAGTCACCGCTGACTTCCCGCGGTACGTGCCACTTTGATTGTAAAAACAAAATGTTAGCAATTAATTGTCAAATATGACTTCAACGAGTCAATAATGCGGGTCTTGGGGTCAATGGATGACAAGGCTGTAATCTGTTCGTGATTGCTGAGGAAAATGTGAAATTGGTGCTATCGCGGTAGGCGCGAAAAACGGACCCTCACGAATGTGGTAAGCGGGTGTTGTATGGAATGAGGTAATGCCATTTCACTCACGGTTTCTCCGTTGTTATTGTAAACAGTTTTAATGAATGAAAATGGGTTTGAATTTAATCAAATCAAATGTGTTTTCTGACATCATACATTCTCGGATGGCGGTGTATACCCGCGCAATTACGCGGTGTGTTTCATCATAGCAAACGTTGTAAGTACTTGGCTGATAATCGACATGTCTTTATGATAAAGTTATTACGATGTTTCGCTGTTCATCAATTATTATTGAAAAAGACCCTGCATGTTTTAAGCATCTGAAAAAAAACATGGATATATACGCTAAACACTGTTAATTGCAACCCGCACTGAATTTCACTAGTTTACTACGTGATTAACCAGAGCTCAACAGCGGATTTGTTGATGTGCTATTTTTGATGACGTGAATATGTGTGATCACTGGGCAACTTTTTTTTATGGGAGCCACGGATTACCCCACGGTTTAACCGAATCCGCGGTATCGCGAAGAGCGTTATTGCGAGGGATGACTGTACCATGCCGCAGTGAAGCATGAATACCCCACTCAGACACATTATACTGACTCCAAGCCGACCAGTCCTTGTTGTACCCATTAATGCCGAGCGCCAGGCAGGGGCCAACAAGTACCATATTTTAACGTCTTTTGGTATGACGCGGTTGGGGATCGAACCCGCGACCTTCCGCTCTCCGGGCGAACGCTCTAACCACTACACAACGGAGGCGGTCCAAAGTCACCATGAACCCAATCTATATTAACGTCTTCGCACACTTTAATATTCTTTCCAATCATTGACCCAAGCCATATTGCCTTAGTTTTATCTGAATTCATTCTTAATCCTGAATAATAGTAAAAACTTTCCAAATTGTTAAGTGCAGCTCTTAGGCTTTCTTCTGAGCCGTCCAAACAAAGTTGTGTATCGTCAGCATACTGCCCTAATTTATGCTCTATGTTTATTAAATAAATGCCTTTAATCGTATCATTGTCTCTAATCATAGTGGCCAGTATTTCGGCTACAAAAAGAAATAAATATGGGGAGATTGGGTCCCCCTGTCTGCAGCCTCTACCATTGTCAAAAAATGAAGAGAGATGGCCATTTTGTATGACACAAGAGGTTGCATTGCTTATCAAAATGTGTACCTACCTTATCATCTGAGGGCCAAAGCCAAACCTTTCCAAAACTTTAGTATAGCTATTTTTGACACAGAATCAAAGGCCCCTCTCGAAGCGGTCGGACGGGACTTATTTCATACACATGTTTATTATTGCATGCTTCTCACTTTTTATATTTGCCTAGACAGGAGTTCGGAAGTGGTTGAAACCCAAAATATTCATGTTCCAGATAAGTTGATGTCCCATCACAGTTTATCAACACTCAAGTGATAATGTCTCTAAAAACAGCAAAGAAAATCCTGTATCTACACAAATGTCATCAAACACCTGTACATCGTGTTCATCTCAATGTACACTCAGCTATGTTTATAACCAACATGCTTCTAACAAGCTGACAAATACAACAATCTGGTTCTTGGCCCTCAGGCCACTTCCTGAATATTTATCAAAATGTATGATAACCAACTAGTGGTCCCTTGGACTTCGTTATAACCATAGTCTACTGTATTACAGTTGTAGCCAGGGTTTTACGAACGTTTTGGTCCTATGTAAAGTAGTACTGCCCCTATAACACAGGTCACTGACATGCAGGTCTTGCATGAGCGGGTATGGTTTTACATCCTTTCAGCAATATTCCAGCAATATCACAGTGTGGACACCAGAAATGGGGTTCACACATTGTACCCATGTGGGGAATTGAACCCGGGTCTTGGGCGTGACGAGCAAATGCTTTACCCACTAGGCTACCCCACCGCCCCAGTTTTGGTATGAATTCCACTGAAATCATTATGATTAGTCTCTCTGTGCACCATG